ATCAGCTGGTAGACATTTAGGTTGCCTCTGCTTTTTAGCTATTATGAATACTGCCATAAATATTCATGAGGACTTATTTGTTTTTGGTGAATGTACGTTTTCAATTCTCTGTGTATACTCTGAAGAGTGGAATTGCTGGGTTGTGTGTGTCTGCTGTTTTCCATAGCAGCTGTACCGTCATTTCACAATCCCATCAGCAATATGTGAGTTTTGGTGACATCTTTGCCAACATTTGCAACGTTCTGTCATTTTTATTATAGCCATCCTATTATTTCATGTATCTCACTGTAGGTTTGATTTTCATTTCCCTAATGACAAACTATAATGATGGATGGACAAACTACGATAAGATAGATTGACACAGTATCTGCAATAGTGGGCTTAACCATAACAGCAGTTGTAAGGATGGCACAGGACCAGCAGTGGTTTGTTTTGTTGTACATAGGGTTGTCATTGCTGTTGTTGAATCAAAGGCATCTAACAATAACAACAAACTATGTTGAGCATCTTTTCATGAGCATACTAGCATACATCTTCTTTGGAGAAATGTCTATCCAAATCTATTATCCTTTTTTGTTTGTTTGTTTGCTTTCCGTTATCCATTTTAAACTAGGTTGTTTTTTAAATTGTTTAGTTGTAAAAGTTCTTCACATGTTTTGGATACTAGGCCTTTATTCATTGTCCTCTGTAAGGACTTCTACCAAAGCACATAATACTTTCTGCAAGAATTTGATTTTACACCAGTATCCTTTTAACTTAAGACTTTTATCTAACATGGTCAAATATATAAAAGAGTAAGTTAAAATTTATTGCTTCTAGTGTTCCAGTGCATATACAAATGCTTTTATTCCCAACAATGTGCTTAAACATGTCTCTGCAGTCCGTGGATGGCTGCAGACAGCTATGTTTAGTGATGTATTTGCCCGTAGTCTTATAGGGCAGCTTCCCCAATAGTGGTCCAATCAAAATGATAGCTTCTGATGAGATCTGTTGGACCAATTAAATTCAGAACATATAGCTCAGCTCCTAAGATTCCGGACACTGCTTTTGAATACCGAATATTGAAAACTGAATATTGGTGAGGAAAAGGTCAGGAAAGTTACACTGAGCCATGTTTTCTCCATCATAGCAAAGCACCTGTTCATTCTTGGATGGTTTATGGGTCCTTTAAGAATTTCACTAGGAAACATTCCCCCATCCACCCTATATCCAGCCTTATTCTTGCCCCATCATACTATTTTGTTGTTCCAAATAAAGAGATTGAAAAGGAACACCATTTTGGGAAGGTACCCTTCAGAAGTACATAGACCTATGACTAGAAATAATCATTTCACATTTTGATGTTTTTGTTTATAAAGATTTTCGTGATTTTGTAGCAATACTTTTGGACTCACTTCTGTATATACATGAATCTAAATGTATTTTATCAGTCAATTAATTTTGGAGTTCTTATCTGATCCCTCATATCTTTCTTGATCTCCAAGATCTTTGTCAATATGTCTCCAGTTTCTACCACTATGTGCTGAACATGTAGAGCTTTGTGATTAATGAGAGACCTTTAAATATAGTATTCTAAAGGTGTAAATTTGCTAGGCAGAGTAAAAGATTTTTTAACATAGTGGCTGTAGCTGAAGAAAAATGTTAAGTTTATGTTTATAAATGTTACCCGGCAAAACCTGCCGGTTTCTACAATAAAGAGCTATCTGAGGATTTGACTGTGGTGCTTTAACAAAGCTTATCATCCTCATGAAGATTAAAAGACACTAAGAAAACATAATGTTTCCCATAACAACAAGGAAAGCATCCCTAAATCTATCATGATACATATAAAGCACATATGGTGAAGTATACAAATTGTACTTACATGATTGCAGTCTGAAGAAATTTCATTTTCAGGCTAGAAGAAGAGGAAAAAGGTGTGAAGAAAATTCTCAAGTTCTCAAACATTACCAAAACAAATATAAAACACAAAGCTGAATAGTCAATCAAATGTATTCTTTAGTAAATTAGGTCTGGCGTGTCTGTTTAAGTCGCTGGGAGATCTGTATCAGAAAGGGAAGTGAGACGTCCCCTTTCCATCAATGGCACCACCTGGAAATGGGGGGAATGGAAAGAGATGTAGCAACAGACACAGAAGATTTTTCACAATTTGGAGAAGTAGAAGATCCGGGTACATTACAAATGTCCTTTCTTCTAAGAAACAAACAGGCTTAAATTTTAGTCTAATGTCGTCACTCAAGGAAGTAAGGTGATGATATGAATAAATTCTCTGTATTATTTTTATAACTCCTTTTGAGTCTATAACGGTTTTAAATTTGAACAAATAACTGGAAATTACCACACACAGATATGTACACAGCAAAATAATTTGTTTTATAAAGCCAGGTGTGTATATATACATATATGATCTCTAGTATGTGTGTATGTATATTTATTTATTAGAGATCAAATGAATTTTCATGTCCATGATGAAAAAGGTGAACTGGACTTTGTCTAACACTCTGGAACTTTGCAATACAGAACTTCTTTATTGTCCTTGTCAGTACCTTTAAGGAACGTACAATGCACCAATGTACATCACAACCAAGCACCACTTCCTTGGAGCTTTCAGAGCACTGTAATACACAGACTTGGTGTGCTTTATATATGTATTACCAATTAAGGCTGAACATGTGACATTTTCAAAATAAAATGATGTTTACTGTTTAGGGAGAAAAATGAGGCAATAAGGAAAAGAATAAGTATTATAAAGGTAGACCTGGGATTATAAAATACCACTATTTTTGAATAGTCTCTTGTTGTATCTAAGAACAGATACATCAACGTAGGGTGCTTTCTGAGTCTCAGACATCAGTCCCTCCACTATGAGTTAACCTAATTTAATTCTGCCCCTCCCCAAACTTCAAGCGCTTAATTCTATCTTTTAACAATTTATTACCAAGAATGCTTTATTTTGTTTAGGTGGTCTTCTACCATAGCCCCTTTTAACCCGCCCCTTAATTTTATCCACCAATCAATCAGCAATTCTACTTCTTTCTCAAACAATATACTTGACGCAATTATGCTGAACAGCAAACTTTCGATGAAGGTGACATTCTTGAGAGAAATTCAGAACCGTAAGGAAGTCTCAACATCATGGAGTCACATAAGAGGAAAGCTACCCACCGAAGAGGGTGCTCCTATGTTCACAGTTCACAAGGACCTGTTGTCCGGAAATCAAATGACTGTTTTAATGGCTCGCCTATAGTCATGGATTTGGTTGTTTTCCTAGTTTATTTTTCTTGAATCGGATTTAAAATCCATATCCTTTGTCCTACAACTTTGTATCGCCTCCTGGGCCTGGACATGGTAGATTACTTGCTTGACTAATGGACTAGGCCACTGACCTACGTCGGTGATGGGATTTTAGCAGATGTGCTAGGAGGAGTGGCTCTGAATGTCCTTGGGGGTAGTTGTGCTCGAGTCAGTCCCCATGAGAAGAGCATGTACGGGTGCTGCCAGTACAAGGAGATGAAAGACCCATGAAGCAGACCTAAATCCAACCTGCAGGCTGAAGCAGTCACCCCAATGAAATTACA